AAACAATGAACATAATACGCATACGGGCAGTCTCTAAGAAATAATACTTGAAGTCCATTCCAAGTGCCCCGCATATTACTAGCACCATCATATCCCTGGCCTCCATTTTTCCTACCTCTAGTTCACGTTGAGCAAGAACATGTAAAATCTTATTTTTAAGATTTGATGACGTAGTGTCACTGACGCTTTTGATATCAAAGTACCATCAAAATACCCTAAAGATTCACAAACCTCAAAATAATGGCCATTTGTTCCCTCTTAGATGCATCTTGTGCTTCATCAACAAGAATATAAAAGTATCAATCCCCAATGTCTTCTCGAATCATCCTTCTTACTCTATTTTCCATTATGTGCAAGATTTCTTTTTGAATACTCGGAGCAATGTATTGGGCATTTTTTGGAGCATTTTTCAAAACAACTTGATCAATCCTATATTCATTTCTGCCAAAATTTTTGTCATTCCAAGAAAATTTCCGCGATTTAACGACGATGTAGATTCATCATGACCTCTGAAGGAACAACTTTGAAATGCTAGCCATCGAGCACTTCGAATTGAAGTCTTTAAACGTAAACGACATTTCTCAACTTTTGAATTTGATACGGTATACATCACTTTATCAATATGTTGAGACGGCTTCATTAAATCTTTAGCTCTTCTTTTACACATATTATGATATGATGATCACAAATGCCTAAGAAACACACATTTCAATCTATCATTGACCATTTTCCATTGGTTATATCCAGAAGGTACCAGTGCCCAACAATTGGACGGATTCCCATCATTCCGAAAAAGATAACAATAAAAACAATATGCCCTATCTGTTATAGGTGAATACTCTAGCCACGGGAACTGGTTGAACCATTTGCCTGAAAGCGATGAGACTGAGATTTTTCTTGTGACTTTGGATACTCAACAACTTTTAGTTGATAAGGCCCAGCCTTTAGATATGCCACTCTAATCTCATCTCGCAAATTAAAAGGAAATTCAAGTATTTGCTTTATTTTTCCTGGTTCTCGTTCAATACTAATATTTGAAGAGGAATGTCGTTCGATTTCTGGTGGAAATGAAGGCTGATCTTGAGTTAGTCCACCAGAAGTTGTACTTTCTGTAGGTCGATCTTCCATTTGAAAGAAAGAAAACAAGTTCTTGTTCTTCTTGAGAGATGGTTGACCCTCCATTTTCAATTTCTTAAAATTGAAAAACATAAGGTAAAAAAAAAATCAATCATAAATGATATTGCTCTAACAACAATCAAAATATAATTTAGTAAGCCGGCAAGGTAACAAAAATAAATCATGATGCCAACGAGGCAATAACAACACATTAAGCCGACAAGACAACAAAAATAAATCATGATGCCGTCAAGATAGTAACAACAATCATTATGCTGACAAGGGAACATTTCAACAAAACAACTTAGACAAGTGGCGAAAACATTCAATTCAATATTTTACCGATAAGACAATAAGCAGTGAGATGAACAACTAGACTTACCAGGGTGTATTCAAGTTTTTACTTTTCCTACGTGTTTGTGGAATTAATCATGTTGACACTTGACAAAATTCCATGTTGACAATGAAGAAGAATTCTGCATTAATGCATAATTGACGTACTCCAAAGACATTCAAAATTGATAACAGCAGAAAAACATAGAAACTCTGTGATTTTGTATATATATACATATGATTTAGATCAGTGATGAAAATGAAGAAAAAAGAGGTAATGATGACATCCTGGATGAAGAAAACAAGTATAAAATGAAAAGAACCTGAAGAGTCAATTCTTAACTATGGAAATTGACTATCACGTTCTTCTACTTTTTTCCATCTAAACCAGGTTTTAGGGAATTGCCAAAAATCTCTTACGATAATTTAGCATTAGCTAAGGTTTTGAAAATGTAATAAGATTAACATCAAATTCTATAAGATTAAGGCAGTATACAATTTCTAAAAGTAGAAGCCAGTATACAATTTCTAAAACCAGCAAATCGAATGATGTGCTAGGGTTTTTCAAATGGAAATTGTGGGATCGATTATTTGGGATTGATGGTCGAATTTTAACCGGACATGATTCTCCAAATTCCAAAATATGTCAAATAATCACCAGATTCACAAGAAAATTGCCCAAAATATGATTGAGAATTGCCCGGTACCAGTCTAAGTTAAAGGCACTCGAATCGTAGGCTAAGGTAGTAATGCTGAGATAACCCATGACTAGGATGAGCAAGAATCTGATGCCAAGCCCTCGGCGGTCAGTCCATTCGTCCCCGAAATCGAATCTAGAGAAATTGGCTTCGGCAGTCGGAGTCTACAGATAAATAAAACCAGCGAGAATGGACTCATCTCTCTGCCTTCTTCAATTTTTATTTTTTGTTAACATGGGCTGGGTCGGCTGCTTACTGGGCTAAACAAAAAAAGGGCAAATATTGGACCTGGGCTTGGGCGAGCATGGGCTGTAGCTCGGGCCAGCCCATGCCTGGATCCGCCCAGTAATCAATAATCTTTCATGCAGATGTGAGATTGTGTTCTGATTGTGAAGATAAGCGCTAATCAGAAGTAGGTCTTTAAATCAAACGACTCATTGAGGTATTTGATTTTTTGTAAAAGTTCAAAGTACTATTTTTCAACAATATCCAATATGGATACATATCCCAATTTCCTTTGTGCTTTGCCAATGTTTCTCTATTTTCGTCGAACTTGAGAAGTTTTTTGAGTTTTCACTAAACTTTTCAAATGTTTCTCGGGGTGTCAATTTAACTCGTCGACTTGGGCGGCTCGTAACACGGCCCAAAAAAAAAATCCCAAGCTGGTCCTTGTCACGGGCCATTTTCAGCCTGTAAAGAACCAAGCCTAAAAAAGATAAAAACAACTGCCTACAAAACTTTAAAATAAAAATAATAATAATAAAAGGCAGCTACACGTGTCACAAGCAATAAAATTGTAAAAGATAGATTAGAACATATAAGATTGTCTTTAGATAAAATTAGAAAAGTAATAAATTTTATTATTGTGCCACCAACAAGAAAACAAGTATTTAATAGTTTATGTGCAAAGTATGGCTTGCAAGAGAAATCATTGGTCATTGATGTAACACATATGAAATTCTACATATCTTATGTGTACATTTGTGTGAAAATTATGATAAAATTATTTTACTATATAATAATGGTAAGCACACATATTGATCCGAACATAATTTGGAAAATTAGGAATGTTCTATTGCTTTTTGTGTGAAAAAATTCTTAAAACTTTTTTTTGATACCATAAAAGAATGTACTGGTGTTTATTATCCTATATCTTCACTTTTTTACAATATTTTTCTACATTTCACAAACATTTTAGAAATATAGAAAATTTTCAATTTTTTGTTGATGTTGTCTACTGTATGGAAGAGTTGCCCCCTTTATTTGTTTTAGCATTGTGATGGACGCTCAACTTAATTGACACAAAAGCTATTGCAAAAGAGATTTCAAATGTCATGAATGTAAAATTATCACATGTGTATATAGAATCAATGTTATGTGAAATATATAACTATTATACTGAAAAAGGAGGTCAGAGCAGTTCTACTTCCTTAATTTTTTTTAAGAAATATTTCAACAAATTCAGATGATATATGAAATTATTTGGACACCAATACAAGTGTTCCTTTATTTAGTTCCAGTTTATCAATATTTAGAGTAATAGATGTCAATGATACAAATCTTGAAATTCCCTGAGTTAGATATATATGCGTGGACGATCGTAGTGTGTTACAATCAAAAGAATTACAGCAATTTAGTCTTCTATTATTGTTGAGGTGTAACGAAAGATAATATTCAATTGTATAAAAAATTGCACGTGATCTAATAACACCTCTAATATCTATTATAGCATTGGAGTCTGCGTTTAGTTTAAGTGATCGAGTTTCATAACACGAACAAAAGTCTTATATTGGGTGTTTTAATGTGCTCGAAGGATTGAGAATATGCAAAAATAAGTATTCAATAACAAGTTGACATTATAATGGTCGAAAAGTTCCAGTAGATTCAAGTATAGGATATTGTAAGTTTTTAAATGACTAGTTTAAAAAAGATACATAATTTTTAAATTTATTTGTTTCAAAAAAATTTGTACATGAAATATTTTATTCATATACAATTTTAACTACGCATACGTTGATTGTAGCCGATTCCAAGCCCGAAAAAATGAAGAGGATTGTAACTTTTATTTAATTTACAAATTTCAAAAATTTTAAATTTTTTTAAAAATAGATTTGCCATGAATTAACAAAAAAAAAAAAAGTCGGCTCGCTAAGGTCTGAGCCAAAAGCCAGGGTCGACCCTAACTTTTTTAGTTGAGCAAAAGTTCGGCTCGGGCAAAAAAAAAAAGCATGAACCATTTTTACTTAAGTTGAGCACGAGCCTCGAGTTTCAGCTCGCTAGTTGGCTCATTGACATCCCTAAGGGCCTGTTTGATAGCATAGAATTTTCTAGGGAAGTTAGAATTCGTTTTCCATTTTCCACTTTTAGGCTATTTGGTAGACAAAATTTTTCATGGAATTCATTTTCCACCCTTACCTCATTTTCCACCCAATTCTTGATTTTACTTCCAGGCTACCTTTTTTTTTTTTTGGCAATTTGAATGAATTTTATTCTCAATTGTACCAAATTATATCCTTTTAATTGACAATTTTCATAAAAAATAAAGTCAAATAAATGATATTCGGTATGGTATTTTTTTTTTAATTTTTTGGCAATTGAAACAAATTTTAGACCTAATGGTAAAAAGAAATTATCACTTTTATGGATAATTTCCATGAAAAACGAAGCCAAACAGATACCAAACTTTCAACATTTTTCAGGTGAAAAATTATATCAATCAAACACAATTAATTACAATTCCCAATAAAATAAATTCTAAACAATTCAATTTCCTGTAATTCATTTTCTTTCCACCCAAATTCCTCATTTACAATCAAGCGGACCATAAATGTTTCTCAATTTCCATTGAACTTGAAAACAACGAGTGACAGAATAACGATGAGATAACATTTTAGCAAGTTTAGTGGCAATTCATGGAACTTTTAAAATTTAATGACACTTAAGAAACATTTGATGAAGTTTAGTGGAGATTCGGAAAACTTGTAAAGTTTACTAGCAATTGAGAAACTTTCTTAAAAGTTTAGTGACAATTGAAATATTTAACCCTATTCGGTAAGAATTTGAGCTCTCTGGGTCTTGATGCCATAGGTAGAGAAACTTGGATTGAAATATGTGGGGCTTGTTTATCTAAAACCTTCTCCGCTATCATTTGTGATAGTAAGACAAGATCAATAGACCTCCAAAATAGTCTCTTCTTGTACACAATATGTCATTAGTTTGATGGTTGAATTAACATAATTTGAAGGAAAGAGGGGCTATTCTACTTGGAAGCAGAAAATTAAATTTTTTCTCATGCTTTGGAAGCCAAACTCGATGAGATTCCTAAGATTAGAAGTGTCAGGACGGACGGGCCGGCCAAACCCGTGAAAATCGGGACCGTGGACGGACCCGTGGGGGCCGTTCACGGGCTATGGAGGTGTAACCCGCGGGCTTC